GGCTCTCTTCCTGCAATTTCTGAGAGAGCAATTTCTGAGAGGAAGATGGGCACAGTGCTTTTTCCACAATGAAATTTATTTTTAGCTTGCGCTCTAGTATCTGGGAAAATGGTTCTCAAACTTGCTATTAACTTTAATGAAAAAAATATATCTAGACCCTCCTGTGTAGAAACTAATCAGCAACTTACAGGATCACGTGAAACAACATAAACATTTTGGTGAAATAAATTTGCAGCTTCTTTTTACAAAGCTGTGAAAAGACATTGGTTAGGTAAAATCAGGACTTCCTCACTTGGATGATGTGCAGAAAAGCCCTTGAACAATTTAAAGGCTAGTTTGAAGCCAGTTAAAAACTTGAGCAAAAAGGTTTTGGAAAAGTTTAAAAGAACGAAAACAATAAAAGAGCTTGTTCCACTGCACCTGATGACACATCTAATGATGAATGACCTTTGCTGCTGCTGATTTCTTTCTCTCAGAAGAACAAGCAGGGCAAGGAAGGAAAAGTTGCAAAATACATGTATTTAGCTTCAGTATATTCGTAACTAATCTCTAGAAATAAACAGAGTGGACCAGAGGCTATCTTTTTTAATAAAGGTAAGCAATGACCATGCCTTTCCTAACGAACTCTATACAAACCCATGTGCAGCTTTTTTAGCATCCAAGCATTGCTGGCAAACGTTATTCCTACAGAAGCCAAGCCAGGTCCCCTGGCTTAGCCTGGCTGGCCGGTGGAAGTGGCCTGACAGATGTGGAGATCACTAAGCAGATGTGTAGATCTCTCTCGTAGTCACCAGGTCCCTACCAAAAGATGATATGAAAGCTCAGGCACCTGAAAAAAAAAAACAATCAAACCATCTTTGGGCAATGAGCAGTTGGAAGAGGCATCTCCCAGGGAAGAGTCCCTGCCTGACTAAGCTGAAGAGGTCAAAGCTGCATCAGAAACTCATCCCATTCAAAGTGGGATGGAGAAGGGTTCGTAGCCTGGGACCGTCGCACTGTCAGCCATGGGCAGAACCGGCAGCTGCAGAAACTGTAGGAGACCAAATAAGACGTAGTGCTGCTTTCCAAAGCACCCACAAAATCCACCGGAAAACTGCAGCTTTGTGAATGCAACAGAGTAACCCAGGATTTTCATCCCAAGCACATGTTGGAAAAAGTGGGATATCGGTGTTCGTGCGTTCATGCACACACATACAGCACTACTGTGCAAGTAAAACAGATTTTACAGGCATGCAGGCTGTTTTCTGGCCTGTGTCTGCACGAAGGACAGAGCAGCCAGGTGGCTGAACACTCATCCCAAGGGGACCGATGGCACTGTGAGTCGTCCCTCAAGAAGCCCAGTCAAAGACCGTGTGGGAAACACAACGTGTGGTGGAGAAACGGGACTGTGTAGGATGCGACTGAAATTCTAAACGGTGCCCGAACCCCCCTGAAGTTTGTGTCATCAGTAGGCCTTGCAATACAGCATGTTCGCAGGTGGGCACCTGTCTAAATCTGAAGGATTTAGATCAGCCAGGGGGCATCATTAACGAGCACCCAGTCATCGGTGACACCAGGAGACGAGGCTGAGTTCACCAAGTCAGGAAAACGATAAACTTGAAGAGGTGCCTAGATGGATCGCTAAGTGTTTAAAACATCTTTTCGTGCCAGCTGCATAGAACTCTCTGAAATGTCAGTGCTGGTTAGCTCACCATCTGTGTTGCCCCCCTCCTCGTTCCCCTCCTCCCGCCTTTATTTTAAGGCTTCTCTATGTTGCCAGAAGATAAATGACTCTTCAATATTTTCGGCGTGTTATTGGAAAGATAAATTTTGAAGTGCTTTTTTTTTTGGTTCCAACTCATGCTATGTAAAGCACATTTAATAATACTTAACATTTACTCAGCCTACTTATTAATCATTAAGGAGTATCAACTATCAAAATAATCCATAGTTAACAAAAATTAAGTAATCACACATTAAAATTACACCGCAATATTGCTCAGCTCTCAGAACAGATGGGGAAGTCAAGCAGAGAGTTTTTAGATCGTTTATTTCAGCAACTTTTTAATTTTATTGCTGCTTAATTTTCAGAAATTCGCTCTAAGATAATTACTGAGTTATATGTTGTGCTTAGGTATACGCTGCTGAAACATAGCTTTTTACTTTTATGTCCTCCCGTGAGGTCTGCAGATCCAGTCTCAGCTAGGAAGCCAAGATGAAAACATCTTGACGGCGGCGCAGGAGGTCTGGCCAGGCTTACCTCTCTGCTGCTCCTCGTGGTGCCGTGGTAAACGAGCGGGGCTGTCAGATGCCAGCTTTATCTACGCTTTGAATCCTCTTTTTCCCACAACTGGTTAAAATCAAGAGCAATGCAGATGGCTCACCTTTTGTTGGAATGACTGATGTGAGAAGCTGTACTAAGAAGACAAAAGGCCTTTAAGGATAGCTCTGGAAATATAAACAGTTCTCAAGGAGTTGTAAGTAACAATTTTAATAAGTGCGGAGTTTGTCACTAACTCTGCCAGCTGATACTTGGCAACATAAGGGAGATGCAGAGCGCTGCTCGCCGAGCACAGTAAGAATCTGACACAGACTGCAAGAGCATCCTCCTCCTGAAAGGGTAAAAGTCCAGGGAAACGCAGGGCCTATGGAGCCAGAAGAACTCAGAAAACACCTGACGACCAGGAGCAAAGTCAAGCTGGACCCCGTGCATCTCCCTTTCAGAGACACACTGCAACGCTTGAACAATTCTTTCTGCTTGTAATTCAAATTTATAAATTGAATCTCAAGAAATAATTAGTATTCAGATGCTTGCGTTAGTGCTGCAGCAATCAGCGTGCTCTAACGATGGAGCGAAATACGTGAGAACAGGTATGGGACATGAGGCTGGTCTGTCTCATAGGTTAGAAACTTCTCCTACGTCTTACTCTGAGAGCCCAATGCTCTCACGAGGCTTCGCCACACATGGAATGACTTCTGCCTGGATAGCCTGGGCTCTCCGTGTTTTCAGTTAAGGAAAAGCTATTTGAGAACATAGAGGTTTAAAATGATGTATATCCAGAATATAAAAAGCATACACTGCCTTATGGTACGCATGCTGTTATAAAAAAGACCTGCCACATACTTGTTTCCGGAGGTAAGAGTTTGGTCAAAGACAGGACAAATCACCCACGACCAAGACCTTCTACACCATGTTTCGTTACTGAAAAGCAGATAAATGACATCTTTCTCTCTATGCTTTATAGACGCCACAAAAATACTGCAGATCTTAGAGTTTCATTGTGGAGCCCAGCTGATTCGTGTTTGTAAGCCTGACGTGCTAAATTTGAATGGCACCATTTTTAAGTCATTTTGAAAAATGTTTGGAGTCATTTATTCTGTCACAGTCATTTTCATCAATGTTGAAATAAGCCACTTCTGTTTTGGGGACTAGACTGGAGAATTTCCTCTGGGCAAGCCCAACATTGTACTTCACCTTGGGTTTTACCTTCCTTTGCCTTGCTCTGTAGCACCCATTTCTGCACTGGGACTCTTGTGATCTCAATCTTAATCTTAATCCAAGTTGATGTTGACCATACCCAGCCTGTTCTCTGTTTGGCAAAGGGAGTAAGACAACACCGTATATTCTGAACTACCATGGCGGCACATGACCAAGTGCTTGAGCTGTGTAGGCTTGCAAACTCTTCTTACACCTTCTTGCCACCGGTTTTGGGCAGCTACAAAAGCAGTTGCAACACCTGGATAGGTATGGGAGAATATATGGGCAGTGTGGCAGCACGCAGGACAAGGGGCTGCGGGCACGAGTTGCTGTGAAGGAAAGCTCAACTAGAGAAAAGGGGAAAAAACCTTTAGAGTTGAGGGTGAAGTACAGGTGTGTGTTGCCTGGAGAGTCTGTACAATCTCCTTCCGCGGAGACACTCTGACTTGACTGAACGAGACCCCGAGGAGAATCTCATCACGGCTGACGCTGTCCCCACTCTGAGCAAGTAGTAGGACCAGAGAGATGCCCCAGACCTGACTGCCGCGGGTCTCTTCTAAATTAAACTGTTCTGAGATTTGCATTTCAGAAACCCTGGGAAGCAACAGCTCTGGCTGCTCACAGCGATACGCGGTGTCCGCAGCTTGTCCTGACAACAGCGTGCAGCCTGCGGGACGGGGCTGGCGATGGAGGTAACCAACATGGCGCTCCAATTCCCTTCCAGTGTGCCCGCCTTTGCGGCCTGCGCGCCTTCCTCGCTGGGACTGCCTAAGGTAGTAAATGCGTTTCCTCCCAACGAATTTTTCAACGTTGTGCCTAGATGGTTTGCACGCTGGGCGTCTTATTCCCACCTTCGTTCGACCAGCGCTTGTGGAACAAGCAACGCTCTCCCATCCTGGGCGGGGGCACCTTTTGGCTGTGGAAACCACACACCCCTCAGCCCCCCCGGGGCACCTGTCCT